TCGGTACACTCACTGTCGCCCAATATGACTAGATTAGCAACCTTATAAAGAAGGATGACGCTATAAGGGGTCGACATTGCGCAGCTGCATGTACGAGGTGACGCATTGTTGTGCGCAATTCGTCATGGAAGACTTCCTTCAAGCAAACCAGCAATCTGTTATTCGCTACTGTGTTTGGCGTGGATTTAATGCATCAGCAACATTTACAGCAATGAGACAAGCATAAGGAGACGAATATATTGGGAGAACAACGGTGTTCAAGCGGCATGAGCGGTCTACGGAGGGGCGGGACTCTTTCGCTGACGACACACGTCCCAGAAAGCTTTCACCATCCATCCTGATGAGATCGCTATCGCTCTCTGTCGAGCGCGAAAACAACCCATGCTATCCTCACTGATATCTGAGAGGGCAATGGAGGCCTTCCTATTGGAAACAAATTATTAGTCTTAAAGCCTTTGCGGTGTGTTGGTGAGTCTCTTCCTGTTCAAAGCGAGAGCGACCCCTTATCGCCCCCCTATTGAATCGTTCTTCCTGTAGGGTTGCCAAATTCTCTGGATTCTATGCTTAGTAATGTCATGATGAGGATGTCAGTGAGAGTCACGAAGGAATGCCCTGGGTTCGGTGGTGCAACGGAAGCACACTTGACCGGTAATCAGGAGGACCGGGTTCAATTCCCGACCGTCCCCTGGCTTTCTTTTGTCCTCTCCTCCATCCAATCTTCCCTCCCGGCCATTCTCATAACAGTAAGACCCCCCCTTGCCTCTCCGTTTCAACTGCCGCAATGGTCTGCGCGCCACTGTCATGTATTCACGGCGCCATACGGTTTAATCTTCTCGCGTAGTTCTCGCATTAGCAAGATACTTCAACTCGCGATGGTGTATCGAATAAACTATATTTATTGGAAAATTCTCTTCATATGACCACGGACTTTCCATGAGCCGCGAAATTCATTGCATTTTCCGTGTTATTTTTTTCCCGAATCATAAAGTTGTTTCCCCGTCATAAAGAGTGTACACATGGAATTTTTTTTTTAAGTCATCGACAGCATCAATACGTGCCCTCCACATAACGCTAGCTTTATCATGCAATCACAGAAATAAATTGTTGGTATAATTGGTGCATTTCCGAACTGCTTACTGCACCCTATCAATTCTGTTCAGCATTCGCGAATTACCATTTCCTTCTACTTTTCTTCACTCTTGTTTTCTTCTCATATATCACACGAGTTCTTCGCCATTTCTAGCTGCCAGTTTCGAGTGGAATGTCGGCTGGAATGGGGAAAAGTAATGTTCACCCCATGTAGGTCTGTGTCGTCGTGGTATTTATCTTTCCAACGACCTCATAGCATTCCTTTTTAGAGAACTATGAGGTTTTCATTGTCATCAGTCGAGACCGGGCTTGGAGGAAAGCGGAAACAATTTTCCCATGTACCTTACAAGCTTCTTTCTGAATTAATAAATTTCCGGATGGTAAAGTTTAAGAAAATTCGGCGTTTCTTGTCCTCATTATTCATAATTGGAAGTTTCTCGGATTCTTTCATTTTGATTGCTCTTCATAATGCTCTACTTCCAACATCGATTGAAATCTAAACTTTTCAACTAAAATGGACTTCATATTCTCGAGACAACACGTGGAATTTATTATTATCATTCTGATCAATATGGATAAAGGCAATTGTCTTGGAACAACTCTTGCAAACAAGCAAAAATGAACCAAACAAAATGAAAAGCTCCTTTTCTACGTGACATGGTTGAGATCAAAATAACGAGTCCACCAGTTCAGCCGATAGATGATCCACTCGTCGAAATGAGGGTTAGCAGCAGCAGTGATTGGGACTACATTCCCCAGGCAGAAAGTCCCCCGAGGAGGACAATCCTCGTTNCAGCAGTGATTGGGACTACATTCCCCAGGCAGAAAGTCCCCCGAGGAGGACAATCCTCGTTAAGTTGCTGGGGAAAGTGGAGGTCGAGGGGGTGCCTGTGGTGGTAGGGGCATTGGGCTCGGGCGTCGTTGAGGGAGGGAGAGGCGGTAGGATTGGGTCTTCGCCGTTCAGGATTTTGTAGACGGTGGTGAGGATGAGGTTCTTTCCCAACCCGCATTTCCCGAGGAAATCGTCCGTCTCCACTGACCACACCATCCCTCCGGCAATTCCCAAGTCCAAGATCATCAGTGCCTGTTTCCAGAGACACGAAAGTTAGTGTCACCAATCGTTACCAGAGACAACAGCCTGAAATAGCAGAAAGGGGAAGACCTTGAGGGCGATGCTTTCGGTGTCGTCGTATCCGAACCACTGAGTGGAGTTGAATGTGCAATATGGCGCTTTGATATCACCGTTCCAGTGCCTCTGAAAGTCTCCATACTGCTTCTGGATCTCGCAGATCTGCAACGATGTTCGATTGCAATTTTTTTTTCGCTTGAATAATATAATCATGGACTTGATAACTTAGTCTGTGAGTCCAGTTCGTCGCTTGCACCACACATGACATCAGATATTGAACAGCCAACGCAAGACTGTATCATCGACGCTCGAGACATCATTATTTTCTCATTTTGGAGAGCCTTACTATAAGCAATTCGGATGCAGGCAACATTTCGTATTCATTATATTAAGTGAAATACTTTCGGTGTCGTCGTATCCGAACCACTGAGTGGAGTTGAATGTGCAATATGGCGCTTTGATATCACCGTTCCAGTGCCTCTGAAAGTCTCCATACTGCTTCTGGATCTCGCAGATCTGCAACGATGTTCGATTGCAAGAATTTATTCGCTTGAATCATGGACTTGATAACTTAGTCTGTGAGTCCAGCTCGTCGCTTGCAGCACACATGACGTCGGTCACTGAACAGACAATGTCAAGACTGTATCCTCGACGCTCGAGACATCATTATTTTCTCATTTTGGAGTGCATCACTGTAGCCATTTCGTTTCATTGTATCGAATGGAATAATCATGTCACTTGCTATAATACTAAAGGAAGTTCTTGATTATTGTAAGAGAATTATGTTACCTCGTTGAAACCGAGAATGCCAGGTTCCCTTGTGTAAGGACCGGCCATGCCAGCCTGAGTAGCCTTGGCGTAGAACCCATTCTCTGCTGGATTCGACAAGGTGAAACCTCGTCCGTAGATCGGCATTCCCATTACCAGTTTCGATTTCGGAGCTCCTAGGCTGATCCAGTAGTTCATGCTGAAGTTCTGCAGAGAAACGACATATTTTTTAGAAAAAAAGGAACAAATCTGGGGCTTCCAGAGAGATATTTTTTTTGCTGAATGCAAGGAATTTTACTCACGGCATTGAAGTACTTGTTGTCACCAGATTGATCAAGTGGATGGGCATAGAGAGGGGCATTGTGATGAGTGAATGTCTCCCAGGCTCCATGCATGTCGTATACCATAACGCTGATTATGTCCAGCGCCCTAGATGAAATTTACATTTTTGTGCATGACATGGTACCATAAAAATACATATAGTTGGAAATGAGAGTGTCTGCAATACCCATGGAATAAGTAAATAAGAAGAAAGAATTCACATAATTGTATTCAGTATAAAAAAATGAGAAATAAAATACCTCGATATAAGAAATGGACTTACTCAGACATTCCTTGAACGTCATAGGCGGTGTCGATGGTTCCCTTGCCTGCAGAAACAGCAGCTGTGACCAACAATCCTTCGGGAGCGAAAGCGGCTTTCAGGTCTCTCAGTAACTGTACGAAATTCGCCTTGTAGAAGCAGAAACAAGAAAGTTATTCCTGATTTCTTTATTATAGTGATGTCCTGCAAGTCTGTCAAGTGTTGTTACCTTGTCTGCAGGAGCGCCTCCCCTGTTATTCGGATATTCCCAGTCCATATCCAGTCCGTCGAATCCATATTTTTTTAGGAGTTCCAAGCAGCTCGCTACGAATGTTGTCCTCTTGGCAGTGTCCGCGGCCATCTGTAATGTTAAAGCACATAGATCTCAATGAAGAATGGAAATACCAAAATAATGTAATTTTTTTTTAGCGATTTAAGTGGTACGAATGCTAAAAAAATTTGCTCTTCACACACAATTTGGGATATATCAACGACAATTCTAAGAATACCCCGAAAGTCGGTGATTGGTTTCTTTTAATGATATTAAGTTTCTGACCCAGAACATGTTCTTCAATCCCTTATGTTTATTGTACAGATATAATGACATAAATGATATTGTATGTATTTAATGATGTATTTTTGATAGGTTGGATACCTGGGAGTATTTGACAGAGCCCTCATTCCATCCTCCGACAGCCAAGATGGTCTTCAGTTCGGGGTTCTTTTTTTTCAGGGCATTGAATCGTCGGAATGCATCTGCAACATACAAATATTTACGAGGTATGTTACAACAACTTAATATAATCGTTTGCAAGTCCTATGGGAGGGATTCCTAGGACCCTTGTGCTTATGTGGAATATGTGCTCAAGGACACACCCAGCGGATGTGTAAAATGTCGAATGGCTTGCAATTGCCTTTGGTTTCGTGTTAGACGAAGCACAGATACGGGTTTCATTTTGTAGATTAAATCTAGTCCTTCGCCTTTGGGAACAGTAATGATAGATATCCTGACGGTCTTGTTCCTTTCATATATATTTATATTTCAGGTTTGCTTCTATTCTTTAAAATAGTCTACTTTTACATTTGAGGTCAGTCACCTTTTCCAGAGCCCGATTCGTCGACAACTTCATTCCACGGATCCAGGACCTCGATCTTGTTATCGTCGCCGAGCCCTGCGAATCCGAAGACGAGGTGGGTGCAGAGGTTCGGGTCGATCTGCTCCACGTCGAATTTCCCATCGCCGGGCCGGTAAACAGCCCAGCTTCCAAAGTAACAAAGGAACAGTTTTCCGCTCTTCGATGCACCTGCTCGGACGAAATCATCAACAAAAGTAGTAAAACGTTAATGCTTTTGGAATTACTTCCAAAGACGATATTTACCTCGCTTTTCACTTGGTCGAGCGTTGACAGCAAGGAGCGCAGAGAGAAGCAAGAATGCCAGCTTCATCTTTTCACTGCCGCTGCTGAAACTGGGGAAAAATACAACTGTGAACCCCGTGAACTTCCCTGGATTCATGAAGTTCGATCGTTGAAGAGGATACAGACTAGAGCAATTGGAAGAATGAAAAATGGGATGATGGAACGCTCGGTTTAAGGCTCCACTTAGGGCTCTCCTCAACACTCTCATCCTTCAACGTCGGAACAAATTCCAGATCAAATGTAATGCAACTGATTGCTAATATCTACCTTGACACACCCTTGCCAAGCGCGTTCCGGTTTCACGAATCACCCACACTCCTTTTCACTCGTAATCCTCTCATATGCCTATTCGCTCCCACACTCCAGCTCGATAGTCGTAACTAAGACGAATTAATGTCGGCCGTAATTTGAACGTTATTGGCAATGGGTATGGTTACCCATTTCGCCTCCTAACTTTGAGTCTTTAGGATTTCGTGGAGTAAAACGACTTCACAGAATGTAATATAGTTTTTGAAATTGTATGATTGCGGACCATCGATTGATCCAGACTTCGGGAGTCTCTTTTTTGTCCTCCCAGATTTACTCCTACTCTCTCCACTCCCTAAAAACTGTCGATTCTGGTTGACTCGCGGGCTCGGTGTTAAACACGCGACATGAGTCCGTAAGATTAAACAACAGGAAAATTGTCCCCAGTCACTTTGTTTCACCATTAAATCGACTCCCAAGCTTTGCATGCTTGCGCCTTTTTCCTTTCGAGAGCAGCACCTGAAAGCAAGGCAGCAACGGAGTCTTGATGGAGCATAATTACGGAAAACATTCTCGGCGAACAATAATATAAAACTAAGAAAGAGATGGCATCAGTTTAAATTAGGGTTGTACCGATGGCCACCTTTGGCCGGTGGGCCGATGACCAATTTCCATCTCATAATCATCGGCCGGTGCCAGTGCCGATTGTATGAAAATTGAGAGGCAACATGAAAATGCACTCTAGTTCATATAGACCCATTTAGAAGCCATGAGATACTTAGAGGATCCCCTAAAAACGATAAGAGGTCATATTTGGTATTTTCTGTGTCCGTCTGTAGTTAGATTGTTACCTATTGCTACTGTTAAGAGGGTTTAACGACACATCTCTAGCAAATGCATATCACAAAAGGAGGGACAATGATTTCCAGTTCTTTCTCGCTAATTTTTCCGCCAAATCCTAGAATAGGGCGGAAATAAAATCCGATCGATATTTTTCAGGTTCACACGTTAACTATTTTTTTTCGTAGGGTTTGCTTATATGTTTTCCCTCTCTTTTAGATATCGGAATCGCAGCTTGCAAACCGGCCTATGGCCGATGGCGCCGATAGTGCAACACCGGCGGTCTATAGCCGATACATCGGTACATCCCTAGTTTAAATATTAAGCCACTGCCATCACGTAGATGGCCTTTCACGAAATCTCGTGAGAACGATGAAACTGCCTCGGGACTTATCAAACAGAAACTCTTTTTCACGACAACGCCCTCTTTTAAGCACTTAGTATCTTTTACCTTTATCCCAGCCGAAGCAGAAAACTCAGCGGTAAGGTGAAGCGAAAAGGAAAAGAACATTTCGACTAAGAGTCGCTAATGACATTCAATGCAAATTAAAAAAATAAATAAATAATAAATAAATTACAGGAGGAATTCATTGAGTGCCTGATATAGCCAACGCAAGATCCAGTTAGTGCTTTCAGAGATACTGTTTTTCTCCGGGCTCTATTGATTTTCCTTTTTTTTTTTCAAAATTCGTGCCTGGAGAAACAAAGCAAATAAGAGCAGCTGGAAACATGCTTACCGAAATTCGAAGGGAGTGCGAGGAACGTAGCGTGTCCACACCGGCCGTGTCACTCGTGGAGGGAGGGAATGAGGGCCTCCTCGGTCACCAGGGAGGGATTTATACCATTCCGTCGCGTGTTCCGGGAAATAGGACAGGAGAAAACATCGGTCATGCATTCTGGGAAAAATAGTCAATGCCCCCTTTTCATCCTGTTTTTCCAATTACCTCTCTCTCTCTCTTTCGGTTTACACATTCCACTTCCCTACATCGATCTTTCTGGAACTCCTTGACTCGACTGAGAAGGAAGGAACATTTCGTGAAAAGTAAAAATCTTCATGTAAAAAAATGATATTCCCATTGAAGTCAATTTTGAAATTTAAAAAAGCCAGTCGCGGCCTTTTAGATACTCCCAGTTTCAAAACCGCTGCTGCATAAGCATGCAATCCTTTCACAGTTGAAGCACCCTTTCTTCAGTGCTACGGGGCGCTTCAGTGCATCAGAAGTTCACCTTCTTTGCTCAGAAAGCATGGGTATAACATCGCTTTTAGATTAAAAAAGGCGCTTGCCACTTGGATTGATATATTATAAACTAGCGTCCAAATTAAACTGAAATAATTGTAATAAATCATAACGACATCACATCGACGTCGTTTCCGTTCTTCCTTCGTATATGACTGAATCTGAAGCCAGACTATTTCTCCGAGCTCCCGCAGTTGACCTCATTTATGGAAAATGGACCTAGACGAAGCATTCGACAGGGAAATTGAGAAAAACTATTTTCCTCGTCGCAACTGCTGCCACCTCAAGTCCCTCTTTCCTAGAAAGTAAAAGACCGATGGGCTGAAACGTAAAATAATGACGAATCCATTGAAAATATCCCTGCCTCATTCCCTATTGTAAAAAAAATTGAACCTCTAAGAGAATCTAGACGCCCGAAATTGGGCTGTCTTCTTCCACTCTCAACACAGAATCGATCCAGCAGATTTGAAGCTTAGAACCCCCCCCCCCCCCCCCCCCCCCCCCCCCCCCCAGATTTGTCCCCCTTCCCTGCTCCCCCATGGGCGAGTTGTGAGTCATGGCCCGTGAAGAGAATGGCATGAATCAGGCAATCTCTATTGCGACGTGCTTCAACTGGTCGGGAATAATTTGGACAGCGCATGTAAATCCAGGCAATTCCTCACATCCATTTAAGAGTTGGACAGATAGTGCTGGCTAGAAAAAAATTTCCAGTGACATTTCTGAGACATCTAATCGTGCATACACACCGTGAGTAAATCCCCTCTCATTTTTAATCCAGAGCTTTGCTTCTCTTCGGCCCACTTCGTCCTGTTCAGTCCGACAAAGAAGGTCGCCGATCGGGAAGGAAGACATATGGAACGGAATGAATACAAATATTTGAAAAATAAAGGTGAATACAACGTTAGTGAGCTTCGTAGAGTGGTGGTGGGAGGGGGGGGGGGGGGCTGAAGAGAGGAGAAAAGCTTTTATAAAATGGTTTTCGCACAATTTCATATGAGAAGGAAATTGTGATCTTTAAAAATTCGAGAATCAGTCGTTTCCGCAACCCTGGGGATTCTAAGCTTCAAATCTGCTGGATCGATTCTGTGTTGAGAGTGGAAGAAGACAGCCCAATTTCGGGCGTCTAGATTCTCTTAGAGGTTCAATTTTTTTTACAATAGGGAATGAAGGAAGGGAAGCAGACGCTACCAAAGCCTATTGATGGGTAGAAGCGAACTTGGGGGCATTTCATGGATTCCTCGTCGTTGCCGTCGATGACCAAAACGGTTTTTCGACTAGAATTCAGCTACTTCAGCGCTTTGAATCGCCGATGTGCACATGTAATTTGTTAGTAAACCTGGTTCTCCTGAAAAGTACGCGGACAATAATATAATAAATTCCGTATCCGTAAAAAACACGATCGAGCAAATTTCTTATCCTCAAACTCACGTATTTATGGACCGATATCACTTGCTTCATTCGAATTTCCATTCCTGATGTATACCTCATATCTAGGGAGCAGTTCGTCTTAATGAATATATATAATTTAGTCACAATTCCCAGAACCAGATGCGTCGACGGCGTGGTCACTCCAAGCATCTTGATCGTATCCTGTCGTCGAAATTGAGCATAGCGAACCCGAAAATAAATAATAGCACAGATGTTAGGCGATCGGCTGCACGTGAAATCTTCCAACTCCTGGCCGATACATCGCCCAGCTTTTGCATATGAGCAGGTTCCTTCGCTTGGATTCTTCGATACGAACGATTCATTCAACCCATCCCATGCGAAAATAAATAAATAAATAAATTAAATATTACCTTACAGCAAAACTCATCCACGGTAGGAGATAAAATCGCCACCTAATTTCATATTGGAAGCCAAATGGAAAATGGAGAGGGAATGTACCTTGCGAGAAGTCGAGGAAAGTATGAAAATTTCACTGAAATCTGTTTATTAGAACTCCAGCAACAAACTTTTCCCTGCGATCCCAAAATAGCCGAGTAAATAAGATAAGGAGTCACCAGCAGATAGACACTTCCATCCATTCGTCCATATACATAAGAGGTGAAACTGTCTGTCATTCCGGTCAACTCCTCCTAGACGGATGAACGGATTTTAAAGGTGTAGGTGTCAATCGAAAGCTTTGTACCTGGAGGCGATACTTATTGCGTAAAAAGTTTAAAAAGGAGGCTGTGAACGTATTTTCTAAAGGTGCTCATATCTTTTTGCGCGTGATAGGCCTGCACGGGTTGACTTTTCCGAGTTGAAACGGGATCGTTCCGATTGGAATCGTGGCCCGCACCCGACCCGGAACGCGATCGTCGACCGAACTTAGCTGTTCCGAGCTGTGGATCGTGTTGTGCTGATTTGGCTGGCCTACATCCCGCTTAGGGCTCTAAGCTTGAGAACAAGTCTCTCATGACGTATTTGCCCCAAGGGGGGGAGGGGGACGAAGGGGGGGAGGGGGACGATCTCGCAGATCTGCGCAGAAACGCATTTTCGGGTGCAACAGTTCGGAATGAAGGGCATTCTGTGCAAGCAGACAGGGTGGCGAAGCGCGTCTTTGGCATGGGAAACCGTCCAAGACAGTTACATCGGGAAATCTGAAACTCATGAAAACTTCCCTATACGCCAGAAAAACCAGAAAGAAAACCTCTTTCTTAGGGATAGGTTTTGTGAAATCGATGCCTGGCCATCATAGGCGTATGCATAATAGGATAATCTGTGTCAGGGTGAAATTTCGGGGAAACTCCTCTTAGACGGATGAACGGATTTTCACGAGCGAGATGTCAATCGTAACCGTATGACCGGAGGCGATAATTCCTGGATCTAAAGTCCAAAAAATCGTCCCATTTTCATGCAATGAGGCCACTCTTTGGCAATAGGAATAGCACAATACCGAACGCTTTCCGGAGAGGTGCTCACACGTCATGCTCCGCACTCGACCTGACACTTGATTGCCGAAGATTCAAGGCCTGGTTTGTCCTTTCGGCTTCAGAACTCGCGGTTTCAGACGATGCATTCTCTCGCACCCGACCGGAAACTAGATTGTCGATCTCGCTTCATGCCCGATGCACAGGTCAGGTCGGTCCTATCGAGCCGATCCGAATCCCAGCCAAAATCTTCTTCTATGCT